TGGGGTCATCCTAGGGACATGGTTTTGTGCTGCTAGAAGCTATGCTAGAGTTTGGTCAAGTCTCTTAGTGCAGGGCTTTGTACGGAGTTGCCATGTGCCAAGAGTTCTGCAGTCCTCGCTGGTGAAGGCCTACTTCCTGTAGTTAGCCACCTTCTTGCTGTGTGCTCACTGGCCTTTCCTGGGTGCTTGCCGAGAAAGAGAAAATCTCCTTTCTCCTCATGAGGCCCCCATCCTCATGATCTCATATAAACCTAATTAGCTCCAAAAGACCCCACCTCCAAATACTACCACTGTGGGGTTAAGCCTTCAACATGTGAATTTTGAGAGGACACAAATATTCAGTCCATAACACAGCCCAAGCAGACTAAGACAGTAGCTACAACTACTGATATAGTACTAACTATAATATATTATAATTAATATAGTTGAAATTTCTGTTAAATACTATAAATCTTATAATATTCAAAAATCATTTCCCATGCAAAAAATATTAGCTAAGTTCCTTTAAGTAACAGGTTTTAACTGTTTTATTTTTAAATTTTTATCCAAACATTGGTTTGTTACCTAGTTCATTTTCATAAATATGCTTACAAATGTTTGAACTTGTTATCTGTGTCTTAGACAAGGATGATTTGGCCAGAATCTTGAACCCCAAATTAATTTCCCAGGAAAATCCACGCAAAACTTTACCTACAAGTTTTAAGGAGTTTCTGATACAATGAGATAAACCATAAACTGAAGCTTAAAGACTCCTCTTGCCCATGGAGTTTGAGGCCTTGGTAGAAATGGGCCAACTCCTGGACTACTTTTTCTTACACCTATTGGTGGCACTTTTGATCTTCTCACCCCTACTGTGGAAGGTGGATTGATGCCAAGAAAATAAGCTGAAGAAGACCAGAGAATGTTTTTACCTTACTTAAGGCTTAAATCAGGGCTGACTTAAGCCACTTTTGCATGTTCCCTTTTCCCACCTTAAGACCTGGACTAGATAAAAATCCCATTAGCCTGCTCCATGTCCACACTCCCATCCCCTTCAACTGGCTCTTCTATGCCTCACCTTCCTTTTACTATCCAAATGTAAACAGGAAAGACCCAGGATTGGCATTAAAAGGAGTGCCTCTGCTTGGCTTTGTGTATAATTATCTTCTCTTCCTACTCAGAAGTTGGCCAGCTTGAACAGTAACATAAGTGAATGTCCTGAGGAATCCCATGTTGTTGTTGATTAATATGAGAGTCTTTTTTGGGGAATGGAATGGAAATGGGATGCGAAGAAGTGTGTGATCATCAGACTCAGTTATCTTTCACTTTTGTTTATTCAAGAGACACCTGGGGACCACTTTCCTTAGGTTATACTCTAAAGTAATGAAGATTAAGTCATTAAAATGGATTCAACAAGGATGTGTGGTACCAGGCACTGTTCTAGGTGTGAGGAGGAAATGGGTGAGCAAACCAGATAATCCCTTCCCTCATGGTGCTTATGTTCTAATGGAGGGAAGGGGGATGACAAACAATAAATATAACTCATATATGTATGTTAAAGGAAGCTGTGTTTTGGAGAAAAATAAAGATGGGTGAAAAGGTAGTTTTGGAGGAGGTGTTTCAGTTTTAAATAGATTGGTTACAGGATTCCGGCCCAGGGCTTACATACAATGTAGTAGGGGACATGGGCTGGTATTTAATATAATGTAGGTACTCAGAAAAGGAGAGCAGGCTCCCGGTTGAGGGAACTGGAAAGCTTCACAGAAAAGTTGGACAGGTAGGCAAGTAGAACTAGGAGAGAGCCTTCTGGACAAAAGAGAACCAGAGGGCACAGACAAACCACAGCAAGGGCTTCAGATCTACTGAAGAATCAAGTTTCCATAGGCGGGTGACAGGAGTTAGGACTAAAATGTAAGTTGATATTATATAGTGGTGACTTACAATGAAAGATTTTCTAATACTGAATCATTTTCACACATCCTGGGATAAATCCAACTTGGTTGAAGTGCTTTCTTTTTTTATAAGATTGGTTTAATTTGCAATTTTTTTACATCTATAGGCATGCATGAAATGGACCTATACTTTTCTTCTATTGTTATGTCTGATTTTCTTACTAGGGTCTTGCTGGGCAGGTTAGTAATGAGTTAGGACTGTTCCTTCTTTTTCTGTTGTCTTTAAGAGTCTGCATAAAACTGGGATGAACAAAATTGGAATCTGCTTATAAAACCATCAGGGCCTGATGTATTCTTTGTGGAAACACTTTACCCACTACTTCTATTTCTTTAGTAGTAACAGCTTTTTTTAAAAATTCCTCACCCAAGAACATTTTCATTGATTTTTTGAGAGGGGAAAGAGAGGGGGGGAAGAGAGAGAGAGAGAGAGAGAGAGAGAGAGAGAGATGTGAAAGAGAAACATCAATCGGTTACCTCCAGTCCAACTGAACCCTAAACCTAGGTATGTGCCCTGACCAGGAATCTACCCGAGACCTTACTGCATATGGGAGGATGCTCTAACCAACTGAGCCACACCGGCCAAGGCAGTAGTAATAGCTTTTTATTTAAGCTTTTAACTTCTTGAATTAGTTGTAGTAAGTTGTTTTGAAGAGAGTTCATTTCATGAACAAAATCTTTTTTAAATTGTTGGTATATAGCTGGTGATATTATTCTTTTTAACTTCTACTTTATTCATAGTTATATTACTCTACTGTTTCTGTTTTCATTCTTTTCTTGATCATTTTTGCCAGAAGTTTGCCTACTTTTTAGTTTTTTTCTCCACAAAAAACTATTTTTGGCTTTGCTGATGTTTTCTCTTATATATTCTATTTCTAAACCATTAATCTCTGATTATTTTCATCTTTTTTTCTTCTACTTTTTTTTTTTAATATACCTTTATTGATTTCAGAGAGAGGAAAGGAGAGGGATAGAGAAAGAGAAACATCAATGATGAGAGAGTCACTGACCGGCTGCCTCCTGCACACCCCCGACTGGGATCAAACCTGCAACCTGGGCATGTGCCCTGACTGGGAATTGAACCCCGATCACCTGGATCCTAGGTCCAAGCTCAACTGCTGAGCCACGCCCAGCTGGGCGTTCTCCTTCTACTTTCTCTAGATTTATTCTGTTGTTATTTTCTAATTTCTTAGATTTATTCTGTTATTTTCTAATTTCTTAAGATGGACATTTAACTCATTAATTTTGAGTCTTTATTGTGGCTATTTATGATTATAGATCTCCCTCAAAGCATCATTTTTGCTGCATCCCGTATGTGGTGTCTTAACATTTAATTCTAAATATTTTAAGATTTTGATTCATCCCATCTTGCTCTTCTCTACCACTGCTCTAGTTCCAGCCCTTTCTGGATTACTGCAACGGCCTCTGAGATCCATGGTCCACTTTACCTTATTCTTACCAGAATAATCTTCCTGAAATATAAATGTTGCTTACGTAAATCCTTCTGTGGTACCCTAATGTCCGGGAATAACTTCTAAGATTTATAATATGGACCCTGCCTACCTCTCTAACTTTATCCACTCCCATTCCAGTATCACTGGTAACTCTAAACCACTTTCAGTTTTCCTCATACTGCCTATGAGTTTTATTTTGTTCATTCTTTCACTTTTACCTGGTGTGGAGAAAGGATCCTTTACTCCCACCCCTTTTACCTGGTGAACTCCAGCTTATTCATTCTCTCTTTGTACAGGGAGTCTTACACCCCTACATCCCCTGCCCCAGGTGTCTCTCCTCTGTGTTTCCAGAATATTCTGGGCATTTCTCATTATACAGTCAGGTAGGTTTTTAAAAATCTGTTTAGGTTAGTGTTTACTTCTCTTATGGAAAGAGCTGGTCATATTCATTTTCGTGTCTAAAACAATGTTTGGCGCATATTAGGTGTTCAAATGGTTGAATGACTAAAGATCTAGAAAATTAAAGTGACTTTTTCAAGATCATGTTGCTCATTGGTGACAAAATTGAGACTGGAAAATAAGTAACTCTTTTGTTGCATCATGCTAGAGACCAGTGCTCCTTCTAATGCATTATGTAAAACTGGATAAGTACCATATTTATTGTGCAATATTGAGTAAATCACTTTAAGCTAGTTTGATAATGATTAAGGTGATTAAAGTATTGAATTTTTTACAGACTGTATCTATGGGAACCTGTTTCTGGTACACTAATAGTTTTGCATAAAATTTATATACCCACAAAGAGGTAAAACAGTGCAAGTACATTCAAGTAATTTGGAAAAATCAAAATGGCCTTTTAGTGACTGTATTTTGATAGGTCAAAATTTTAAAATTTACTGTTAAAAAGTAATCTAAAAGATTCCAGGCATACTGTTTACAAAATTATGTGAGCTTCAGGTTAGAATATGTAAGGGTGGAAATGCTGAAATTTAAAAAATTACATAGTAGGGAATAGCTCAATAAATGTTTGACTCAAACTTGTACATGAAAGTTCTGACATACCGTGATTCTTATACCTTCAGGTTCTTCCATTTTCTGGAGCATATTGCAGAACTCAGTCAGGGTTTAGAAACTAAGACCCATTCATCAATTTATGGAAGGATAGATAAATATATTTCAATTTGAGTATATTTCCAATTTCAGAAGTGTTTAAAGAAGCAGAAGTTTTAAAAGTGAAGCATCAGAAAAAGGATCAGAGCTGAAATATTCCTTAATATCATCCAGTATTCTGTGTGTATGTGTGAGAATTTCCCTGTTTCAAAAAAGTGTTTTTACAGTTGGTATGTTGAAATAGGATCCAAACAATGTCCACACAACAATGTTGATATGTCCTTGAGTCTTCCTTTATCTATAACAGTTTCCTCTCCTGTTTTTCCCGCATGGTTTTTACTTATTGGAAAAAAAATTGTCCTATTCATTTTCTAACTATGCTGCAAAGTCAGAGAGAGTAGGAAGTATTAAGAATTTCAGCACTAAGAATTGTGCCTGGCACCCAATAGACAATTAATATTTGTTGAATAATGTTAATAATACTCAAGGTCTGTCTTTGTCCCTGCAGGTTGATCCAAAAGACTACATGTTCAGTGGACTGAAGAATGAAACAGCGGGTCGCTTACCTGGGAAGGTGGCAGGCCAACAATTTCTCATTCAAGACTGTGAGAACTGTAACATCTATATTTTTGATCACTCTGCTACAATTACTATTGATGACTGTACTAACTGCATCATTTTCCTGGGACCCGTGAAAGGCAGCGTCTTTTTCCGCAACTGCAGAGATTGCAAGTGCGCACTAGCCTGCCAACAGTTTCGTGTGCGAGACTGTAGAAAGCTGGAAGTCTTTTTGTGCTGTGCCACTCAACCCATTATTGAGTCCTCCACAAATATCAAGTTTGGCTGTTTTCAATGGTACTACCCTGAATTAGCTTTCCAGTTCAAAGATGCAGGGCTAAGTATCTTCAATAATAACTGGAGTAATATCCATGACTTTACACCTGTATCAGGAGAACTCAACTGGAGCCTTCTTCCGGAAGATGCTACTATTCAGAGCCATGTTCCTCTGCCTACTACCAAAGAGCTCAGCGCTGTCCGCATTTCCACAGAAGCCAATAGAAGTATCGTTCCCGTAACCCAGGGTCAGAGACAGAAGAACAGTGATGAATCATGCTTAGTGATATTATTTGCTGGTGATTATACTATTGCAAATGCCATGAAACTAATTGATGAGGTAAGGAGAGAGAGAAGAGAAACAGAAATACACCTGGATAAAAACACTCTGCTTTCCAGAGAACTTTCTTTCTTTTCAAATTGGCTATTAGAAATACAGATAATCCTTAAGTTATAGGATTGTCTGTAAGCTGGTTGTTTAGGCCTCAAAACACTTTCCCAAAGAAAAATTTTAAAAATATTATTTGATTCAGTAAGCACTTATTACGTGCAAGTTACTCTGTTACTGTATTTCGTTGATTATAGTATGTCCATTTGTTTTTGTACACTTTTGTTACCTGATACACATCTTACAATTGATAGCAACTTAGAGCTGTTGAAATGTAGTATATGCTGGGTTTGGAGATACATTGACAAAATTCTCTGCCCTCAAAGAACTTCCATTCTTTGTAATAAATAATTTCCATGGAAGCTCATGAAAGTGTAGTACTGCATAGTAAAGCATGTCCTTTTATAATTATTTAGTGGGGAAATTTATTTGGTGTTTTAATTGGTTAGGAGACAGGAAAGTCATTTAGGAATGCAACTTTTGGACCCTGTTGTGACCGTGAGAGCAACCTTCACATAACTCTCCTTATTGTCCTTTGCCCTCTTGCAGAAGAATGAGGTGGGAGCTGGGATAGCAGAGGTCATGGGCTCATGAAGAGGGGCTTTGGGTGAGTTTGTGAATAGAGAAAAGTTCTTTGGGTAGCAGCTTCCACTTGAAAAATAACTGGGGGTGTAGAGGTTAGGGGCTCCAGAAGCAGCAGTTCCTGTTTGGTGGGTGCTCCGGTGGGGAGGCAGCGGTAGGATATCTGATTATCCATTAATCAGATGTTCTTCAGGAGGAGCCTGTTTGAATTTAAAAAATCAAACTTACAGAAATGGAGAAGTAAATGGAAAACTCAGCAAGTCTCTTTTGAATGGACTTTTAAAGAGTTGTAACAGTTATGTCAAGAGGAACAATCTTAAGGGGGGGGGGGAATACTAAAATGACTACCTCTTGTAGATATGCAGACAATGTAGAAAACCCATGTCTGAAATCTGCAAAGTATATCTGAGTTCTAGTTTTCTTTTTTTTTTAAATATATCTTTATTGATTTCAGAGAGAGGAAAGGGGGGGGAGAGAGAGAGAGAGAAACATCAATGATGAGAGAGTCATTGATCGAGCCCGCAACCCGGGCATATGCCCTGACCAGGAATCGAACCCTGATCGCCTGGATCCCAGGTCAACCGCTGAGCCACGCCCGGCCGGGCCTGAGTTCTAGTTTTCAAAACAGAAGAAGCCAAAATATAATTTTAAGACTGATATTTTATTGTTTTATTATACCAATCTGATGAAAACATGCTATGAATCTGGTAAGATATGGAAAAAAGTGTTTCTAGCCTTTGAGCTAATAATATGTTAATTCAACACCTGAAAGGAAAATATTTTCATTATATTGTATGGAGATTTAAAAAATGCTTCATACAGTTTTCTAAAGATGTAATTATTCAGGTTAAACTCCTTTTTGGTAGGTAATGAGGAGTAGACATAAAGAATATATAGTATGTTTAAATAAAAAAGCCATCAAAACAAACATTGTCTTCATAAGTCATCAGGTGTTCTTAACCTCTGTATCTGATGTATAAAATGACAGTGTTGTGTGCCCTTGCAAGAAATATGACCAGGAAGAGTAAGGTTGTTTAGATGCCCTTCTGGAATACAAAATAATTAAAACAAACAGAAATCTAATAATAATGATAATAGCTAACATTTATATAGTGTTTACTATATACCAGGCACTGTCGTAAGGAATTTAACTCACTTAATTCAGAATAACCTATGAAATAGGTGTCATTGTTCCTCTTTTTACAGATAAGGGAAATGAGCCACAGGGAGGGTAAGTAACTTGCAAAAGGTCACTCAGCTGGTAAATGCAGAGCCATGACTTAAATTCAGGTAATGTGGCTTTGTAGGCTGCATCTTAACCTATGCTGCCTCAGTGGTAAAGGAAAGTTGCTAAATCCCTGGTGGAGCAGGAATGTGACCAAAAGTGCATGGAGTCAAGACAGATACTGTCATCCAGCCTAGAAGGAAAAGCCCTGGGACTTTTTGGCTAGTTGTCCTACCTAATTCTGAAATCACAAAATTAAGAAATGAAAGGAGAACAAAAAGAAGAAAATGTCAAGTACATGTGAAGAGGGTATCAAAAAGTGCTGAAAACCAGTGACCTAAGAGATTGCTTTTTTTTTTTAAGGAAGCTTGAGTTCTTAGGAAAATATATGTAGAAGCTAGTTAATTCTGAGATGGAAAATAATAAAACTTGAGTCTTTCTTGAATTATAACACAAATATCTTAGAACAATCTTAGACTGGAACTGTGATTACTAACTCTTGTGATACTCTAGGAGTATCACAGAATTTTGTTTAACTTATTTCTACAAATTAAACATATTACAATGTAGTTTTTTTTTGAGATAGGAAGTATAAAACTTGAGAGGGTAGAAAGTCCAGAAAAGCTGGGTAAAGCAAAAAGCACATTCCATACGGAGTCAAGAGAAGTTCCTGGGCCTAGTTACCTAAAAATCAGATTTATTGCTTGATGTTACTTAGATCACAGATATGTACCAGATAAATTAGGAAAAAAGTAGTTTGAATTTTTAGAAGTGTTACATAATTCAAGTTGGGCAGTTACCACTACTTTAAAGTCTTTAAAAGTAGAAGAATTTTCATGAAAAAGAGTCTTTTCAAATATCTACAGTGAAATATCAAAATAAAGTTTCATAGTTCATTATTTGTTTTTAGGTAATGGTATTGTGAATTAGTCATCTTACTTTTGTCAATTTATGTGTCTGACTATAAAATGAGAGGTGACGAGCAGCCTGGAAATTAGAAACAGATGTAGGATTGTTTCTAATATTTTAAGTAACTTTGCAGTCATCATCTGGCAGTGATGTCCCTGTAATTTTCTGCTACTTTTTAATTTGTTTCTTTTTTTCTGAGTTGCATTGAGGGCTGTGAAAAAAAATTTGAGTTTGAATCCAAGTTGATGGAATGGTCTGGAATAATGTAGTCATAGGATGAAATACTATTAACCATTAAAACTGACTTTATAGTAGAATAACTGGAAAATGTTCACAGTACATTTGTAGATTATATAAGTATCTGATCTTTTTTAAGTAGATAAGTCTGGAAAGTTATATATACTAAAATGTTAACAGTTATGGTTATTCTTAGGAAGTGACTTAAGAGAAAGGTATTCTTTTTTGTAGTTCTATGGATTTTACAATGAACATGTATTATTTCTATAATGAGTGGAAAGTAAACTGGGAGGGTAAAAGGAAGTATACCTATATGGCAGTGACACCTTTGAGTGTGCACCTTGGTTGATATTTCTTTTTCTATTTTTTTGTTTTTCAAATGTTCTGTATTGTGCATATATGTTACTTTCATATTAAAAACCCAGTAGACTCTGCTAAAAAATTAAGTGCTTGAATGACTGCATTTTTAAAAACTAATATTTTAAAAATTAATATGTACTCATTGTAGGAAACTATAGAAATAAAGAAGAGTAGAAATAAGTTTAAAAATCATAATGTACTGTACTTTGAATAATCTTTTTTTTTTTTAATCCTCATCTGAGGATATTTTTTCCATTGCTTTTCAGAGAGAGTGGAAGGGAGGGGGGAGAGAGAGAGAGACATCGATGTGAGAGAGACACATCGACTGGTTGCCTCCCACACGTGCCCCGGCCAGGGCTGGGGAATAAGCCTGCAACCAAGGTACATGCCCGTGGCCAGAAGCAAACCTGTGACCCTTCATTCGGCTGGCCGACACTTAGCCACTGAGCCAAACCGGCTAGGGCTGAATGATCTTTTTAGGAATAATTTTTTATTTATTTAGTCTGTAATCAGATTGTATTTTTTTAAATAAATG